TCAAAATCACAGTAAGGGCATGAAGCTCAAATCCTAGAGGGCTCATGGGGTATAAAGTCTGGACTGGGCATGATCAGAGACAGCAGATATTTTAGGAGCTGAACCCGTACACAACCCACTCCAAATTTAAGGCACTCCTGTAATGTTTCACTTTCAAGCCCTAAGGTCTTCAATTTTACCAAAATTCCTATTCCAAAGGAAAAGAGCTTTTTCTTTTCAGCACCTAAGTGTGAAAAAAACAGATCCATCAATATCGCAGTTCCACTGGGGAAACTTCTCCGAAGTCAAATACATAAAGTTCAGCCAAATTATTTTATAGAAACCACCATTCCCTCTCCTTTCTAAGGCATCCCTTCCTCCATGTACAAAAAGGACAGGAGATCCTGGCCAGCCTCTCTCTGCTTTGAGGATGCCATAAGATTCTGCCATAAACACTACACATACCACAGTGAACTACACAGTACTCCATCTGTTCTGGAGAAAAAGACTTAATCTGTCTAAATAAAAATAATAATAATTTAAAAAATAAAAAAAAATCCATAAGTCTTGTATATTTCAAACCTCAAATTTCAGCTCAGCACACTTGTTGCAAAGAGGAGGCTCGTTTTCAGTCTGTGTTCCCACAGCTCAGGGTTGTCGGATGAAGTGATGTAAGGAACACCAGACTTCCCATGAATTCCCCACAAGAAGCTAAGTATTTGCACTTGTAAACATAGACAGTCTACTGATAGCGACAGGGCAGTAGTGAACAGGAACTACCTATTCCAAAAACTACATACCAATACATCACTACAGTCTGAGTCAAACTACAACATCTAATTTTGATGGAGTACAAGATGTTCCTACTCCCACTTGCCCCTTTATTGGGATTATGACCCCACAACTCAGAGGCTAAAGCAAACACACGAAGTTCTCTGTTCATGCAAGTCAGTGTCCAGTATCATATTACAAACCCAACTTCACTGGTGCTTTTAACAAAACACACTAGAAGCAAACTCAGGCAACTAAGGAGCTGTCTCACATTCCCTTCTACCATCTCTGCTACCAGGACAGGATGAAGAGGAAGCAAGCAAAAATGGCCAGACCGAAGGCCTGCAGATATTGCAACTCCAAGCCCAGGGATGATCTCTACAGTTGACTAAATAAGCTAGGTCTGTAGGAACTTACACTAGAATGCAATTAAAAAAAAAAAAAAAAAGACGACTGATACTCATTTGTTAACAGAGTAAATACAGCTTTTGATATTCAAAACCTGAAAAACAGTGATTCATGAAATTGCCTTTTTAGTTAGACACAACTTTTTTAGCATCTTTGCCTCCTTACAGGTCTGCCTCCACCCTTTTCCCCGCAAAAGCACTGGGAACCTGCTTCAGTTCGTCACCGTCATGTACCCACCCTTCACAGAATCACAGAATGGTAGGGGTTGAAAGGGGCCTTCAGGGATCATCTAGTCCAACTCCCCTGCCAAAGCAGGTTCACCTAGAGCAGGTTGGACAGGAACACATCCGGGCAGGTTTTGAGTATCTCCAGAGAAGGAGACTCCACAACTTCTCTGGGCAGCCTGTTCCAGTGCTCTGTCACCCTTAAAGTAAAGAAGATTTTCCTCATGTTGAGATGGAATTTTCTGTGTTCCAGCTTGTACCCATTGCCCCTTGTCTTGCCATTGGGCACCACTGAAAAGAGCCTGGCCCTATCCTCTTGACACCCGCCCTTTAGATATTTATAAGAATTGATGAGATTCCTTCTCAGTCTTCTCCAGGCTAAACAGACCCAGGTCTCTCGGCCTCTCCTCATAAGAGAGGCACTCCAATGCCTTGATCATTTTCGTAGCCCTTGCTGGACTCTCTCCAGTAGTTTCCTGTCTTTCTTGAACAGGGGAGCCCAGAACGGGACACAGTACTCCAGTACTCGTTCTTCTGCTACAGAACACCTTTAGGTACTCTGCAGCAAACCTCAGTATTTAAACAGGCAGCACTGACATCTACTGGCTTGTTAAGAAATTGCCTTCCTAAATTTCCAGCCCACTCATTTGTTTTCAGAAAGGAGACAAAACACGCAGCTCTCAGCATTTCAGTTAGTGGCTTCCAACTACACAGACCAACAGCAGGTGCATCCGAAATTCTCTACAAACTCTTCCATAACACACTCACCATTGCCTCCTCCAGCTCACATAATTTCCCCAATCCCTTGCTTGAAGCAGAGAGGTGAGGTGAGGTAGGAGGCACAAGCTTGTTTTAGGCCTTGCCTGCACAATTAAATTTCGTCAGCGTAAATCTAGTTACAGATATTTGTTCTGGTTACACAGGGCTGGGGCTCGCTCCCACCTGCCCTTTTGGTTATGCTGTTCCCTAGCTGCATTAAACTAAATGGTAGGGGTTATTCACCCAGGCAAGGACAAGACCCAAGGCCACACCATTTCTAACAGCAGGTACGCAGTTCATTCACAGCTAGAAAAAACATACAAAAGACTGTGATTTCTAAACTGTAACTGTGCTGAAATAACAAGGAGAAAAGATAAAAATGCAATTCTGAAAGCAAAGAGGAAGAGATCTTGCAGATTAGATTTATGGGAGAACAGTAAGCAGTTCACTTCCCTCCACCCCCCAAAAAACCCTCTTACCTTTTTCACTGAGTGATAATTGCAAAACTGCCAAGAAGCACAGGTGAGTAGTTATTGAAACTTTTGAAGCATGTGACAATGTAAGGAAAGTTCAGAAGATATCTTTATGTGGCTTCCTGTACTACTGGCACTAGTCATTTAATCACTGCTGGAGTCTCTGCAGGCATTAACACTCCACAGCCTTGACAGCAAATGACTTAAAAGATTTTTCAGTTAACAAAGGTGAGGAAGCACGATGTTTGTGGTATATTTATCTGGTGCATAAGCCTACAGCCCTCAGAGAATGTTGCATACTAGTCACTAAAATAAACACTTAGTTCTAGTATTAACTGAGACATATTAATACCCTAAGACCAGAATAATCAGCAGGTTCTTGAGGTGCCTTCCCCTACCACACCATCTCAGGCAAAGACTTGGGGGTTTTTATTTACTTGCTATGTCTCAGCTCCCACAGACACGTGCTTCTTCCAATATTATGGACAAGCAGATCCTCCTGGAATGGTATATCTGCAAATAATATTGCTAATCTTCAGAGCACAACAGAAACATTTAGCGATGTGACTGTTCTGTGGCACTAACAGGAAGAGAATGGAGGACTAGAATAACTCTAATATACCAAGAAAGTAAAAATCCCAAAGTAAAGAAATGGAACAAGTATTAAGAACATCTCAAAGAAAATAAATAACTTGAAATTACTCCCTGCATCAGAATGAGCTGCTGCTCAGGTTTCTGCTAGAGGGCAGAAAAACACCCACTTGCCTTTGACCAGAAACTAGTTTGGGTGGGGGGCTACTGTTGCTTTATAATGACATCTAAAACCTTAAATATCACACTGCTTACATGCAAAGATGATGATTCAGGAGTGGCCAGTTATAACAAGTTTAATACTGAACTTCAAAAGACATCACATTTAGTTTTCATCACAAATTCTTCTGCCAGACCCATTGACTTACTCAAAGCAAAAGGCTATCCAGAGCCAAAGAAAACTACAGCATGTGGGGTTTCTGAACCACTGCTTAATGGAACCAGTGAAACAGTGGTTTCTGATAAGTCAGCAACAAACACTACCAGGTGGTAATGAGACTGCCTATCCCATGGCTCCAACAATGAAAAGAGGATTTCAAAACCTCAGGTCTTCCTACTGTCAGCTCCATTTTTTATTACTCCTGCCATTTTACACAGATAAAATTCATTCCTTCCAGGCTGAAGCTCCCAACAAAAGCATGGATGTTCTTCTGGAGCTCTCAACAGTTATCAAAATTCTTCAGTCAGCTCCTCGAGGAAACCAATTTATATTCCCTTTCAATGCTGTGAAGACCCATTTCTACAACCCTACGAATGTGGTAAGTGACTAGCAGATTGAGAGAGGTACTCAAGACAAGCACATACATTCATGTGAAAGAACTGAAGAGGTTTTTCAGAAGACAGTATTTTCTATTGCCTTAATGAATCATCACTTTTCATTTAGATTGTTCCATTCTTCTGCCAGTTACTACCTTTATGATTCAGCCCCAAACAGAAGAACTTCATTAAAGTTTTAGTTTATTCAAAAATAAAATAAGGAACCCTTTCTAAATTGCTAAAGAATTTTTTTTGTTCCCTCACCCACAGTGTAGTGACCGCCACCTTCTGGGAAAAATTTTCCAAGTCAGAGCAATAGATGGAAGCATTGACCTGCAGCCATCTCCAGAAAGTATCAAATACTGTCAGGAAGGCAAAAGATTGCCTGGTCACAAGGTGCTGGCTTCAAATGACAAAGCAAAATTTCATACCAACCGAACTTTTCTGTAGTCTGTCCTTGAGGCAACCTACAGCTAGACCTCTAGTCAAGTGCTCAAGCGCAGCTTGAAGAGGACCACAGCAGGACAATACAAATAGGCTGTGGTCCTGCTTGCAGAGTATCAGTTGACACATTACTACTGCTTATATCAATTTTGGTTTGGGGTGAAGACAAAACCAAGACCCACTATACAAAGACAGTCTTAGTAGAAATAGGATGGAGAGAGGGAGGTGAACAGGCTAGGATGTATTGCCAGAAACAGTACCTAGAGAAAATTCAAATGTATGGGCTTGTCCATGAAGCTTGCTGGAAAAAAATTATACACCTTGAATTGCAGGCAAATGACTTAAGTGTGTTACAAGACACTCCTGCTTGAGAATTATACACATTCTTATATTACATTGTGTAGAAACATGTATTTGTGTAGCATGACGTTCACAAAATATATATGCAACAGCATATGTTCTTTCCATGTATGTGGTTCGAGACTCTCAGCAAAAAAAGAAACAGAAGGCAATTCTAGCTTTGAAAGTGATGAATGAAGGCTACACTGCTTAGTGTTCTTCACTACCTTTCCCTTTAAGCTTGTCTTTGCCAAAACAAATACCCCACCACAGTGAAGACAAATCACAGGCTGTTCCCAATTCCTTCTGGACGACAAGGCACTCCATTAGCTTCACACCAAGAACCTCAGAAGAACTGCAAGCAGCAAACACCTGATAAATATATTCCAGTAGGTTAGCTCTAACTATTGTTCAAGTTCTTAGACAGCCATAGCTATACCTCCCCATTTTTCAAGACTATTTCACTGTAATCCTGATAACAAGACCCCACTACGCTTTCCTTAGAGTTCCACAGAAGCCACTGTGTTCCTGCTTCTGGAGGCTATAATCCCAATGGAACCTTCACAAGTTGTGAACAAACTCTGGTCCGTTGACAGTTGCAGATTTGGAAAACTACAGCCAGCTTTGCATCTCCTCTTCATACTTTTGGGGATCAATAAAAGGCTTGTCAATGGAGCGGATCATCAGCTCACCACAGTACACACATTCAGCTGCCACAATATCATCAATGTCAGCTTTGATCTGTTCCCGGCTCTGCTGCCCCTTCCCCAAGCTAATGGTATCTGCATCCTTGGGACGATGGTGGCTCTTGGAAGGCTGACTGGTAGCGGCCAGCTTCTTCTGAAGATCTTCAAGTTTTGCCTGCTTGTAAGCAGGAAGGTTTGGGAAAACTGCTTGGAGAAGACAGTCATAATGAAACATGTGACCACACAGGAAAAGGTAAAAAGGGCGGTTTAGAAGGGGAAAGTCACAAGCAGCACATTTTTCCTGAGGCTCCACAGAGCCATACTTATTTCTCATTTCCTGGATGTCCTCTCGGATTCTCTTGGCACTCTGTGTGGCTTCCTCCATCTCCCTTTTCAGCTCCTCAATGTGCTTGTTGTAGTCCTCCAGGGAGTTACAGATTGCCTCCTTGAAATGGTCAATAGTGACAAAGTCTGGAAAGAATGGCAGGACGTCTTCAATCTTCAGCAGGGCACAGCTGGAGAGGCAGGCCATTGCCTTCTTGACATCCTTCTCTTCCTGAACAACATGGCGAGCAATCTTCAACCAGAGCTTCTTCCGGAGCTCCTCATCATCTTCAGGGAGATCTGCACAGGACTTGGCAAGATCAACATCCACCTAGAAGTTGGACAGACAAGGAAACTGAGTTAAGCTTCCATCTTTGTTTATCCACTGCTCAACTTCAAAGCCTGACGTTCATTATAGGAGGCATTAACAGAAAACTTCTGTTGCTATCTCATTGACTAGGACTGCACTACTGACCCGCTCCTTGTTTACATGTCAAACACCTCTCCTCTCCACCAGTATTCCTCCCTGAAGATTTGCTTGCTACCCAGCAGAGAACAAAGCCCAGCACTACAATAAGGGCAAATCCATGTTACAATATCTTTGCTGGCCACACATTTCAGTAAAGACATAGCAATGACAATAGAAAAAAAAAGTCCTACACCTCCCTGAAGCTCAAACTAAGATGATAAAGGCATTCTTCTGTGATAATTATCGCAGCTAGGAATAGGAAGCAATAGCATCCTGAACAATAGCTATACAAGTCTTGCATAAATGCAGCTACGTTAAAGGTAATTTATGTTAGAGACTGAGCTTCAGACAGTACTCCCCCTTGTACTTTCCATGCCCCTATCCTCAATTATGTCTTGTCACAGTCAGCTGTCTACTTAAAACAATTCTGAAAGCACAGAAGTATGTTAACAGAGACAGGTTTTTCTTCCTAGGCTTAGCTGCACAGCTCCTATACTGATGAGTCTGTCCACTTCCTCTCAATGCTCCGTTGTTCAAGATAACTTGAACAAGCTACGTTCCTATATATCATAGCGTGCATGCACAGACACACACATACCTGTAAGGCGAGATCCACAGCCTCCTCATATAATTCCATCACTTTGTAAATATGGACACATGCCTGGTGGTGCCCATGCTCTGCACACAGGCGCAATGCATACTTCAGGTCATAGTGGATCCTGTTTGGGTTGGTTCCTGCTTGCTCCAGGTATGACAGTAGCGAGTCTGGCCGACACAAAGCATAAAGAGACAACAGGTAGTTGTGAATGGCTTGCTGGGTTTCCTCCAACTGATAGACACAGAACTCCATATATCTAATGGCTTCATTGATCTGCTGGGTGCTGGCACTCTGGCTGTAGTTAACAAGGGCTGGAATGAGGTTCCTGGCATCCAGTCTAGAGCCCATAGAAATCCAAGCATCAACTACCTTCTTGGGAATATGCTGGATGAGGACTGGAGAGAACTTGTAGAACAGCTTCTCATCTCTGTGCCTGGACAGCACATTTAGAGCTTCATCATACTCATCATGCTGGCAGTGGTGAGCTACTACGCGCTCATAGTCCTGCATGATGACTGCAAAGTAGACCATGTGCTCTGTGTCCCCGTGGCTTGCCAACAGCTCATAAATAGATGCCCGGTTATTAAATAAACAGTCTTTGTTTTTAGGACTGCTCAGGAAAGTGCGAAATTTCTCCCGGGTATCCAAATAGAGATTTCGCTGTGAGGGATCTCCTTCCAGTATACCTAGCCAGTTCAGGTACAGCTCCGTTAACCATGTGGTCAGCAGAGTGGTCTGTGTCTTCTCAGAAGGCTTTAGGTTACTCAGCTTCTTAATCAGAAACTCCATCAGGGCCTCTTCTTGCTTGGCTTCAATGAACTTAAGGGCAATTTCCTCAAAGTAGTTCTGGGTCAGAGCATAACATTTGGCACTGTCTAGATACCTCTTGTTTTGGAAGCAGTGCTCTGCCTCTTTTGCCAGCACAATATCTAGGCACTCTGGACGGTCTTTACAATACTCTTTGGCTAAATCAAATTTGTTCATATTCATATACATCTTCCACACATCTCTAGATTCCCGCTGGACGTGGTAACGGAACACTACTTTCTCAGTGTGGATCCATATCTGCTGGACTGTAGGATCTTTGATCATGCGTGTCAGTAAGCCAAACTTCTCCAGGAACAGATCTTGAAAAACAACCTGCCCATTCAGAGTGCACACAGCCTTCACCCGATCAGGCAACAGCAACAGGAAGTGGAACTGGGTAAGTACAATGGATATCGGCTTGTTCACAGTTATGTCAATATCAGAAGGATAAACCCAGACCCGTTCATCACTCAAAATTGAATCAGGGCGGCTATAATCCAATGTACCATATAAAACACCATTTCCCATCATCCAGGCAAAAGAGCGTGGGTTCGAGCGCAGCTTTGGGGTGTAAAAGGCTATCTCACTGAAACCAAAGTTGGCCGGAAACTCCCGAAAGCTGGGCAAATGGTCAGCATGCATAGCAAATATGGAGCTGAAGCCTTGCTGCTCCGTCCCTTCAGGTACTTTGCCAACAAACTGGAAGAGTCTCTTTCGAGTGGTGGCTATAATAAAAAATTTCCCTTCTATCCCTCGTTCAATCTCCAAGCAGCAGACTGGGGCAGGTCCCGATTCCTCCTCCAGAGTGTAGACCTGTCGGAAGTACTGGTCAGGATTAGTGCTGAAGAGGCTTCCCTCACTAACAGAGATTTCAGCTTCATAGATCTGCCCCTGGGCTGTCCCCACCAGGATAGGCCCGGTGTTGGTCTCTGAACCAAGAAATTTGTTCCAGCCCACACTTTCAATCAAGTGGCCTTTCCAGCGGGAGAGTGCTCGCACTTTCTGAACACTTCTGTTCAGGTAAAGGCATTCACCGGTGTTCAGAGCAATCAGGAGATGAGAGCCTGCCAACAGGAGAGGGGTACGGGAAGGAGAAGGAGAGAACAAATTAAGACTGTGCCTAAGCAAGCCAAATTCCTGAGGCTTCTAATCCTCACATTTGATAAGCGCTGATATCAACATACTAAAGCCAAGACTTTCCCAGGCATTCATGGGAGGTGGGGGATTTCCATGTGGGATCAGAACGGTAGTCCATATATTACAAACTTAAATTATTAGTCCCAGACGCTTCAGCAAGAAGGTATTCTTCTGTTTCAATAAGTGTTCTAAGCATAAACAGTTCCCAGAGTTACCTCCTACCCCTGGCAGTTGGTGACAGATATGAGCATCTTTTTCCAAAATTTTGTTTGGGTTTGGCTTGTTTTGTTTTTTTTTTTAAAGTCAGTCAAGGCTACAGTGAGCTGTAAATGTTTTCCAGTCCTTTTTAAAAATTCTTATATAAACACATACAGCACAGGGCAACTGCAAAAATTTTCTTTTATTGGTTTTAGAGGCCTTGCTCAGAACAGCCTAATTGCATGTGTTCATTTCAGAGAGTTCAAAAGCAACAACATACACACAACAAGCCAGTGTTTTTCTAGTAGCACAGCGGCAAATCAGTAGGCAGGACCCCTGGGCAATGGAGTTCTGCCCACAGAAGGACCACCTGTTCTTATTTACAGAACAGAAAGAGAACTCCTTCACCAGTGCTTGTTATGCACATTCAATTGCATCTGCTGCCAACCACTGTCTGTAAATATATGTAAGTCCATTGCCTCACCTGTGTGGTCCAAAAACATCTTGTAGACTTTGGCTTCATCTTTGCGTCCCAGCTCTACCTGATTAGGTTCATCTGGCTTCCCAAGATCAATCCTGCAAAGAGAAACCATGAAAGCATGCTTCCAACAAACGTTCATGTAGGCGTAATTGCTTACTGTTTTCCATATTGGGCTCATGGCTTCTTATCCAGTTTGTAATTGTAAGTTCTCTAACAACTTAAGGAAAAAAAAAAAAGCAGGGGAAAACAAGCAGTAACTTCAGGTCTCTGGCAGCATTACCTGAGAAGGGTGTCTTTGCCAAGGCTCATACAGAGCTGGTTAGATGAGACCACCAAGCTGTTGATTTTCTCTGGAGGAGCAAAATCAATCCTTTGCTTGTTAAATATTGGTGTTTCCTTCTCCAGCCGTGCATTCACATATCCTGGAGAAAGAAAATGAACACTTAAAAACAAAACGAGACAAAACCCCACAACAATCCCACACTACATCCAAATCTAACCTAAGAGACTAGAAGGATCATCACCTGCTCTGAATTTTACTGAAAAGGGAGTGCGCTGCATGCAGCATGAACACAGAGCAGCACTCGTGTAGATTTGTATAACAGGAGAGAAAAGTAGTAAAGCGCTCTACTGTCTTGTCACAGAACTGCAAACTTGTCACAAGCATTAATTTGAAAGCAGACAGAATTCCAGGGGAAGCCACAAAACTGTCACATAAATTGCATAAAAAGCTGAAAACAAGAGTGGAATCACAAAGTAATTTGTTTTCCTTGGTTGACAGTTTATTTGTTCAAGACAGGAAAGAATGGTTGGTATTACTTAAGACACAAAGGCAGCTCTGGTTTGACACTCCCATACAAGCTACCCAAGAGACCACTGCGGCATTAATTGAAATATATTTCTCTTATTCCATGTTGGAATTGAATGAGCTACCATACTTGACATCCATCATTCAAAAGCCGAAGCTATTTTTAAAGCCATGTTGGGTTTTTTTGTATCCACATAGCAGACTTCACCATAGAGGGAAGTCTGTTGGATTATTTGCTGCAGAGAACACAGCTGGTGGTCACAATGATGCTTTTACCAGAAGCCTGTTTTACCAACCATAACACTACCCTAATTGCAACTTTCCAGTTGTTGCTGGAAGTCATGCGAACCACTTATTAGAGCCAAAACAATAACCAAGACCTGGTGATTGCTGAATCAATGCTCCAGTCTTGGTATAAATTGCTTCCTGAGGCAAAACCCATTCAGACTGGTTTACTGTTTCAGGGTGAATCCCAAGATGGAGCCAGACTAACCTAATCCTCACATCTTTTTGAAAACCATGCCCGAATTCTAAGAAATGCGCAATTAAGTTGAGGTTAGAGTTAAAGGCTGAAGTCTGACAAGACATGGCCACCTTATGGGGCACATGTTGTGTTTTAAGCCCAACCAAGCAAACCTGACAAATCAATGAAGTGAAAATGGGAGTGTGTACAACCAGAACAAGTTAGCTCATACAACTAATTAAGTATTCAGCTAGACAGTTTAGTCCCAGCCAGCTTGGGAAATGTGGCATCCATAGGAAGGCACGTTGAGGGATTACTTATGAAGGACATCCAGGTGGGAAAAGCATGAATGGAGAAGTAAGGTCTGACTCGAGAGAAGCGACATACTTCTGGAGAAATATGTTAACAAATAAATAAAACTTAGAAATCTATTGCTCTAAAAACCTCTTATGATCTTCAGTGCAGATGGGCAAAACACAAGATGCAGTTCAACCTCGTTCCTTTGGCTATGACAAAGGGAAAAGCCCGGCCATAGGCAAGTTGTCAACAAACAAACTTTTAAGACAGGTGAACCTGTAATGCCATGTGGCAGCACAGAGAAGCAGCATGACAGCGTTTGTTTCCATTGAAGATGGGTATACCTCTGCACCCCAAAACCCAGGACCTGCAGAGACCTTGCCATTCTATTCTTAAATGAGGACAGCACTCTTTATAGTCTTCCTGTGAGGCAGCAAAAAAAACTACAAATGAGCTCAAACATGCCAGTGAACTGCAAAATAAGAAGGCATTCACATAAAATCAAAACCAAATGATGACACTCATTAGCAAAATCCTGGAACATATGTGCATCCACAAACAGATCTTATCACAAAGTTTCATCCATATTGGTCCCATGAGACTAGTTTTCCCAGTGACAGAGTTTCCCATACGCACAATGTCTTACATAACTCTCTGACAAAGAAAACAGCAGAGGATCTCAGTCTGACCACACCACCTCAAGCTAGAAAGCAAGACAGACTGATACATTGCTAGGTTAACCCATCTGCTTTGATCCACATGTGAGTGAAGGATTTCTAAAGCAAGCAGATCCATGTAGCAGTCAGCCTGGACAGGAAGATTAAAAACAAAAAGAGCTATAGCAAGTTAAGGCCATTCATCGCCAAAGCAGCTAACCAGGAAGATGTAAACTTAAAGAAAAAAGAAACCTGGGATTGTATTTCAGGGGAAACAGAATGCTTCCATCCTAAAGAGTACAGATCTGACACTCTCTAGACTGGGACTAACAACACCACTTCAAAGCACACTCAATATCTATAAACTCCCTCAAATTATCCTGAAAAACTCTAATTTTAGCCCTGTTGCTGTTGAAAAAGTCAGTGTAGTAGTGGAAAGCAGCCTGCTAATACTACGAATCCTTTAATTGCCTAGTCCACCAATGCCTTCTCCTTGCCTCTGGCTCACCACTAGACCAGCTGCAGGATCTTTAAAGGATTCATCTTTTAGAGGAAAGATGCACATGCAGGAACAGACAAAGCAACCACAATCTGAGCAGGCTGCCTTTTGCTCAGTGCATGTGTTTTTTTTTCCTTACACATTGATCTACATTTTAAACATTACCCACTTATGCAAAAGTGCGTTCCTTTATTTCCAGTTAAGCAAAACAGATGTTCTTCATTTCAGATTAGGGAGCTGTAATGCCATGGTTTAAATTTGCTGGTATAAACTGCGGTTCAAAACATGCAGACAAAGCTCCCAAGCTGCAGATTCACATGATGTTACAGCTAACCAATAAATATAAATACATATTTATAAAAAGGAAGGATTATTCTGATGGGAAAAACCCACATACCAACAGATCGCCAAGTCACATTCATTCAGGCAATCCTGAATTTTTTTCAGATTGCCACTCGGCAAAACAAGGCTGACTGAGACAGCAAGGAAACCCAAACACAGGAAGGAAAGGGAACAACTAGCACCTATATGCAGGTAGGGGTTTAGAATTTGGGTGGGAGGTTTTGTGGTTTTTTTGTTTTGTTTTTTAATTCAGTCATAATTCAAGCCAATGGATTGGATTCCAGCACTCTGGACTCTTAGGACTATATTCAGTATATTACAATTAGAACAATCCTATAACAATTACCGGGTTATCATCACTAACGCGAGGATTTTAACTAGCGTCCATAACAGGAGAAGGATTAACTTCTTTAACTTACAGTTCTCTATACAAAGGAGATGTCTATTTTATAACATGCGTTCCTTTCAAACAGTTTGTTCCTTCATCGTGAGCCCAATGTCCCTCTTCTGTTCAGGCGGGATTCCACTGCAGCATGTGCCACCCTGATTTCTGGGCAAATCTGCATTTTTCCTTAGAGCTTTTAATCTGTTCAAAGATCTAAGCTCACCAACATCAGTCAAGTGCAGTGGGTCAAAGTAGGTCTTTTCATGTTGGAACTGCAGTACCCAAAGTTTACAATGCAGCCGTACTTTAGGCTGGCAACAGTGTCACTGCTTGGTTGCCTACAACTTTGACAAAGAGTATCTGCAGTTTAACAAGCATAGGGAACAACTAACTGAAACAGAGGAGTAAGTTTTAATATCTTCCAAAATTTCCAACCTAACCTTAAAGACTGCTTTTAGGAAGTTAACTATTTACTTGCATCTTTTTCCAAAATCAACGTGCTTAAATTTCAGATTGCCCGCAACTTCTACCAGCCCAAGTTTTGTTCAAAATTACCAGCGCCGTGTGATTTAAGAATAATTAAAATCCTGATTAGGCTGTGCCTTTGCAGTTAAGCAGTTTCCCCAACTTCCTTTGCCAACATCAATTGTCAGCAAACAGGCAGATTTCCCAACCGTAAGACAGCCATGACTGGAGACAGTGCTGCAGCAGTCAAAAAGAAAAGCTGAGTCCCTGAAAATTTATTTTTGGTAACACAGCTTGTTTGAATACTGTTTTGCACATCACCTATTCAGGACACCTATTCTTTATTTATCTTTACACAACAAAATAACTACATATGGTAAAACAAACACGGGGAACATATCTACTTCAGTACCTAGACTCAGAATAGTTCTGTCTGTGTATTTATACCAAATAATATACATAGTATGACAGAATTCATCAATTCTCACCACATATATAAAGCTCACAACCTGGTTTTCCCAAATGTTAACAGTTGGCGACACTATATAAGGAAAAACTTGAAAGAATGTGTCTATGCATTTCCAAACTTGCAACTCAAAAATGCCTGCTCTGCATAGCAGCTGGTACTACCATGGCAATACCACGTAGAACAGAATCCTCTCATAACCTACATTTCCCTGCCACACTCAATAAAACATTGTGAGGTGGCATCTAGTAAGGAATAGTTACTGAACCTAATAAACTTTGAATTTATCATGGAATACAGCTGACGTTTATTTGCTTTCCCTCACATGAAAGAAACAACTGACCGGTCATCACACTGTTCCTTTACATTGATAGTACACCTCCCTGAATAGTCCAGTATACCAAAGCTCCACAGACCTTGACAGAAAAGTTCAAGATTGCTTTCTTCGTAACCTTCTTCAGCAGTAACCTTGCCATCATATAGTCAGCCCAAGGGAGCCACTCTAAAAAACGAAGTCTTTGGTAAACTGCCCCTAGGTTAGGAAACTAACCGCATGCAGGTACAGTTGTACACACAGCCCGAATAGTGTGGCTGTAACAGCTGGGTTCCTCAGAGAGGAGAAAAAGTTAAAAAAAAAAAAAAAAAGAAGCAAGCTGGTGATATGATCTCAGACAACTACCACAGCTCTGAACTGAATGGTGCTGAGGTGTGGCTATAATTTGTGACTATAAAGGTATGCCACTTCAAGTACACGTGTTTCTAGCACACACCACTTCAGTGCAGAAGGAGGTACGGCCTTATGAAGCCCTCCCACAGAGAACGAGCACATCAGTTTTGCTAAGATAACGTGCATCACCCCTAAGCTTCACCCGGAACCGAGTGCCCCCTGAATCAAAACATGCCACACAGCCAACGATGATAAAACAAATTACAGCTGAATGTTATGCTACAGACACAGCGATACACCTTTTACTGGAAGCATTCCTAACAGCCTGCCATGCCCTACTCCCCACTCCGCTCCCAACTAAGGAGCTGCCACCT